CCGTCCTGAAACCCCAACCAGACTCACTTGGCAACTGGTTCAAGAGCAAAGGGCCAAGGTAGCCAGGACAGAGTTATGCACAGGTTCACACACCACTCAGCTCCAGCTGCAGCTGTGTGGCTTCTCTGCTAGCAATAGTGACCAACACTGACCCCTGAACCATTCCCCATAGGAACCTGCTGGCTACCTGCTAGAAAGCCAATTACATCAGACCCCTTCCATCTAGGAAGGACAACAACTTGTCCTCCCCATTATAGATGTGAAGCCGATATTTGCATCAGACTTGCCACTGCCAGCATCACCATCTGCAGGCTTTTGGAACAGTTCAGATTCTGATACAGGGTCCATACCATGGGCCCTCCAACCTGGAAGCCCCACAGAGTGAAAGCAGTGAGACTACAGTCTGGTCTGGATTCTCAGGCTGTTGACCTCCTACCTCCATCAGGCTCAGAGAAGAATAGCTGGGCCTGAGCTACACCCTGGATCAGGGAGGCACCCTGAGCTACACCCTGGACCACGGAGGCACCATGAGCTACACCATGGACCATAGAAGACACCAGGTGAGGACACCAATGAGGACGCTGAGGCACAGAGGTGAAGTCAGTGACAGAGCTGGCTTAATCAGACACTATTCTGCTGACAAAGGACACATTTTTCTTCCTGCTCCCCTGTGGCGTGAGAAGGTGGGAAAAGCCAAGCAGTGTTCTTGGCTTCCAGCTGGAGGAACTGTTACCATGCACTCCGGTAAACAAGTCCCTCCCAGGTACCCTGAGAACAGTGGGGACTGGGAGAACATTTTTGAGGGGCCCTTTAAGAGTAACGAGGGGTTGCACTTCCACCCACCTTCGTACTTGGTTCCTGGGCTTTCTGCAAGACTGCACCTGGCTCACTCTGTGCTTGAGGGTGTAGCTCAGGGTATGCCTTAGGAGATGGACATCTAAACGGTGCCTGGCACATTGTAGGCACTCCACAAGTGTTAGCCATTCTGATTACTTGCCAGCCTGACTATCACAGGGACATGGAGCTCCATTAGGCAGTGGGAGCTGGGAGGGGGAGGGTTTCAGCCCAGGGATCCCCTGGGATACCTCCTTGTGCCCTGATGTCTAGGGTAACACACAGTCACTGCATCCTATACAGAAAGGACCCTCCAGGGTGCAAGCCCTTTAGGAATAGAGGTCAGCATTTCTCCAACAGGGCAAGTCTTCGGCCAGCGTGGACCTGGCTGAAGGTGAAGCACCTGAGGAGGCGACTCTCATACTCTGGCTCCACCATCCAGCTCCTGATGGTTCATGTGGGACTTTAGCCCTGAGCCTTCCTCTCCAGCCCCAAGTCCACTCTCATCCAGGACCCCGTGTCCACAAGGGTGGTCCATCTGCTGGGCCAGCCACCCCCCCACGACTTTCCCCCCAGCCCTCTTTGCCTGTACCCCCTGCAACACCCCAGGGTCCCTGAGCCCAGGCAGGGGTTCCTGGCATGACTCTCCTAACACCTGACAAGGCACCCGTGATGACTTATGACCAGCCCCCACTACCCCGCCCCCTCCCGATTCCGCATCACCCGGTCGCCATCACTCCTGGCGTGGCAGCTACACTCACTTTCTGACAGCTTCCGGAACCTGTCATGCTCTCCTTCTCCTGCGTGCCTCTTTGTGTGCTGTGCCCTCTTTCTGGAGCACCGGACCCTGCCTTCACTTCTCCCCAGTCTGTCCTCTAAGAGTCAGCCCTGTGTGAATTAGGGGGCGCTCCCCTGAGTCCCCCCTCACCCAAGTCACCGCATCATAATTCTGGTGACACCACAGAGTTTCCTCAGCTTCCCCTCTTGGCATCTTGAAGGACACACCAGTCTGTGCGACCCCCCCCCCAGCACCTGCAAAGGGCCCGGCACAGGTGCACCCCTGAAGGGAGAGAATGGGTCTCCCTCTGGTAGTCAGGGCTCAGCGGGGTTGACCACAGAAGTGCTCAACACAAAAGCCCGAACTAAAGCACAGCAAGCGCTGACAGAACTTCCTTTGTTAAAAGACAGCAAACTGCTAGATTTCAAAAATAACTTAAGACGAAATTTCTTTTTTATTCCCGAGCAAGAAACCAGACATTGCCAGATCTATTTAGAGGGTTCACCAAAAGGCTGCTAACCCCCTGCCGGTGGTCCTGCCACCAGCATGAGCCTGCACTTAGGGATGCACACTGGGGACCCCTGACTCTTGGGGCTGCTGCCCAAGGTCAGGGGCTCTTCTGAGAGGGGAAAGGGCTCTCCTGGGTCCGGAGAGGAGGCTGGACTCCCAGGGCCTGGCCTCTACTCCAGCGGGTCCTCAATCCCTGGGATCTGCCCTTGGCCTGTCAGCCCCCATCCACGCCACCAGCTTGTAGGGACTCATTTTAATTAATACCAGAACTGGGCCAACCACTGGGGCCGTGACACTTGTTTGCAGGTCATCTCCTCCTAACAGGCTCACCCTGGGGGGAGGATTTGTCACTAACTGAAGCAGAGATCAGTTAATGAGGCCGCAGGGCCTGGGCTTCCAGAGAACAAGGGAAAGGAAAATAAAATAAAGCCTCTTTCTTTGGAGGTTTTGTGATTTACCCACACAAAAGAAAAGCAAGCAAGCTGCAAATTTTCCAAGTCAGAAACTCCACTCCATCTGCCGGAGTTAGACCCTTACTGTGCGCAGACGTCAGGCAGAGGGACGCAGCCCCTGGCGGATGGAGCACAGAGGGGCCTCCTGAGGCCAGCAATCGATCAGCAACCTAATTAACAAGTATTTATGGAGCAATGCTCCCCACCCTCCTCCGTGGGGGAGAAGACACAGGGCCTGTCCCTGGTTAACTTGAAATCCAGTAGAACAATGAGTGGACAGGACATGGGGCGTAACTGAGCGAGTGCATGAGAAGGACAGAAGCTTCTACGACTTGGGGCTGGCATGGTTGGGGAAACACCTCCTGGAAGGGCTCCGCAGCTAGGTGGGGAAGGGGAAGGAGGGTGTCCCCAGCAAGGCACACCCTCTGGGGGCCATGACAGCCCAGCGTGAGTCCCTGTCCCTGGGGGTAAGACCGTGGCTCTGAGAGCCCTGGAGGGCCCCCAGCCCCCAGTAACTCTGCAGCTTGGGCATCAGAACCCCCAACCCACAATCTGGGCTGGTTCTGGCCTTATGAAGCAGTTGGGATGGAATGACTGAGGACCGCGGAAGCGGAGAGCCCGGAGCCCTGGGAGGAAGCCGTGTCCCCGCAGCCCCAGGCCTGCAGGAGGAGGATGTCCCAGCAGGACGGTCATCCCCTCCACTCAAGCTCGTCGGAGCCAAGGCCGCTCGGGATTCTCCCCGTGGGCCTTCCCCCTCCCAGCTCCTCTACACGGTCCCTTAAATCTCAAAGAAGGAACATGGGATTTTCAAGCTGCTAAACTAGGCAAAGTGATGGGCTCCTCTTGCCATAAGGAGCAGGAAGGAGGCGACAGAGCCTTTCTCCTCTCTCACAAGAGCCCCTGACGCTGGCCAGCAACCCCCCAGAATCAGAGATCCCCAGTTTGTATGACCCTCAAATGAAGTCTCATGCTGGGTTGCAGGACCACCAGGGTGGGGTTAGCAGTCTCTCTCTTTTTTTTTTCCTGCGGTATGCGGGCCTCTCACTGTTGTGGCCTGTCCCGTTGCGGAGCACAGGCTCCGGACGCGCAGGCTCAGCGACTATGGCTCACGGGCCCAGCCGCTCCGCAGCATGTGGGATCTTCCCGGACCGGGGCATGAACCCATGTCCCCTGCATCGGCAGGCGGACTCCCAACCACTGCGCCACCAGGGAAGCCCAGCAGTCTCTTGATGAACGATCTAAATAGATTTGGTAATTCTGGCTTCATGCTTGGGGTAAGACATAAGGATTCAGGGAAGGAGAGTGATCTTGGGCATGAAGTGGGGACCCCCCCCACCTAACAGCTGTTTGGAGGTGAACCTGGTCCACACGGGAGCAGAGTAAACGAGGCCATCTCAGAACAGCCCCAAATCCCTGTCTTAGGAGAGCAGTGAAATAAATGATGGTACACAGTAGGTACAATGGGTTAGTACACAGGCGTGAACAACTACAACATTTATTTGATGACATGGGAAAGATGAGAAAGTGGGTTTTACAAAAAGATTATTAGATGTGAATTTTTTATTATATGTGAATTTTTTTTAATTTGTATTTCCTAATTACTTTTCTTACCAATTACATGTATTTATCGTGTAATGAAGTTGTGAGGCGACTTTTGACCTCTGGAGTGGGCTATAGGAGACCACCCAGCCAGGATGGAGAGAGGACCAGATGGAGGTACAGGGTGGGATGAACATGCCAAGGTCTCGGGAGCTTGGGCTTCTCTTCTGGCTCTGGCCCAGGCCCCTTGCTGTGTCACTTGGGATACATCCTTACACCCTCACACAGTCAGTCTATAAACCTCCCCTACTTAGTAGCTGCTATATTCTCAAAACCCTGTGGGATTCAAAATGAGCCTACTGCCCCTGTCTTGAGGAATTCACAGGACTCCAGGAAGGCTTAGACCTGTGACCACATGACTGAGGCCACCAAGAGGGGACCCAGGGAACTCAGGCAAAGGGGAGCTGACATTTGAGCCAACTTTGGGGATGGATCAAAAGACCCTCCACTCCTGCATCGGCTTCATGAAGACCAGCTCCTCTGAGGAGGGTGTCGGGTAAACACGGGCCCCTCTAGGGCAGACATCCTGCCCCCGGCTGGAGTGTGCAGCCCTTCGTGTGGCCCACAGGCACTGCCTCACCTCCCCGCCTGCTCTCCCAAACCTGGAGCACTGCCCTGTGCTCCCCCTCTATGAAAGCGTCACCAGGGTCTACTCTTCTCCGCCTAGGAAGACGGCCCTGATGGCCCCCACCCAGAAACCCTGTCTCCCATGCCCCTTGCCCAGCCCTGACCCTCAGATAAGGTCTGGCCTGGATGCTGGGTGGGGCAGTCACAGAGCAGCAAGATGGAGAGGACGCCCAGGGGGCGGGGAGTGTGGGGTTACTCACAGCGATGGAGACGGCACTGATGACAGCTCCCAGGTAGCCCTGGATGAACTTGGATGCAGGTGAAGGCTGGAAGACAGAGACAGAATTTCAGGTCCCCTGGGTGTCCCAAGCTCCCACCCTCCACCCTTGCAAATGGCCCCAACCGGCAAGAGGCAATCCTGCCCCCGAGCCTGGAGGGGCAGGCAAGGAGGAAGGCCTCTGGAAGCCAAAGGGATCCAGGCCTCCCTCAGCGCAGCTCCGCACATGGAAACACAGGGCAGCTATGTCTGGGGAGACGCCAAAGGGCCTTCTGCCCTGCTCTAGGAAGGCCCTTGGCAGACACTGCTGGCTGCGGGTAAAATATAGCAAGGGCCAAAGTGGGCCGTTTACGGCTGGGGCGAGCGGACCCAGCTTAGGAAGGCTAAATGTTGCAAGCGGGCTGTTGGGCACCCAGAGCATTTTCTCAGGGGACATGGCAGTGTCAAGGTGGCCACAGCCTGGCTGGCTCTCACGGTCCTGGTCAGCCATGCAGGGCTTCCAGGCCAGTAGAAGACAGTTGCTAAATATTTCTACGGGAAAATGGATCCCAAGTTGCAACACAAAACATAAGGAAAAGCTGAGGAACTACGACAGCAATTCTGGAGATATTTGGTTTAAGGTGAATGGGAGCCATCTAAGCAGAGATGTCTGTGTGCGAAGCATATGAGCAAGGCGTGGGTCGAAGGTTTAGATGGGAGGAGGGGGAAGGTCCTCAGAGTATCAGGCCCTGAAGTTCCTACCATCCAGGACAGCTCATAACTCCCCTATCACTCCCCACCAAAGTTATAAATGTCCAGACCCTCTCCTCCCCAAACTGACAGCCCCCCAAGGGGAACTAGATTCCTCTCCTCTGCTGCCTTTGGACGGAAATGTGGGAGAATGGACCAAGGGGAAAGGCAGCCTTGCCAGCGAGGCAGGCGCCCAGCCCCTTCCTAGACAAGAGAAGGGTGGCTGGACCTCCACTGTGAGCTCATCCCAGGAGTGCAGGGGACTTTGGGGAGGACGTGCCAGTCCTCTCAGACCCCTCACCCTCAAGAGCAGCCCTTTAGCTTTGCAGCTGACAATCCTAGGGCACTGAGGCAGCTTCCAGGCAAGCTTGGAGGAAGTTTAGAGGAAGTCAGTCCCCACATGGCTGATGCTGTCCTGATCCAAGATCTGGGTATAAGCGCTGCCCAAGGGGAATTCTGAAGCCAGCGGAGCTCATCCCTTTGGCCGCGCGCGCCACACTCCCACGTTCCGGGCCTTCGTCACTTCACGTGAGCAGCCCCTCCCCAGCAGGGCCCCTCCTGAAGGCCTGGCAGTAAAACCGAGAGGAGAAGCCCTGATGGTGGCATGCCACACTGTAGGGAGGGAGAGGGTCACCCCAGCCTGAAGCCTGACACCGGGTGGTGGTCTGCGATGCTCACCTTCGTAGCGTTCCGGTTTGCATAGTTGACACAAGCATTGTGGCTCTGGTTCAGCCACTGAAAGGCAATGCGGGAAAAGGAGAAGTCAGGAAAGGTGTGGTCACCTCCCTGGAAGCAGGCCTGGACCTGGGAGGCCACACCCCTCCAGAAAGACACGGGTGTCTAGTTCACGGTAGTTCCATCCATCCCCTGAGTTAGCATGAGCAACCATCCTGGTTCGCCAGGACGGCGCAGTTTTGCACTGAAAGGCCCCAGTCCTGGGAAACCCCTCAGTTCCTGGCAAACCAAGACACTGGTCCCACCCAGGCCAGCTATCCATCTCAGTCCAGAGATGGCCACCTCTCCCAAAATTCTGGTGTTCACTGCCCCAAATGGGCCCCACTGCCTTTGCCACATCACCCTTTTTATACTAACGACTGGACAGAAGGTGGACACTTAAGCCCCTGGAATGCCCGACAGCTCTGAGCCTCAGTGCCCTACACCACCCACAGAGCCCAGTGCCCTACACCACCTGCAGAGCCCAGACACAGACATTATTAGGAGCTTTTCTTTTTTCAGGAAGACTCTGACATTTTCTCCTGAAGACAGACAGATTTTTCTTCCTGCCCCTCTCTCTCTACACAGATACATACTGAGCTTCTACTGTTTTCAGAGAGCCACGCCCCAGACTGTCTCCAAGGGCAGAGACCAGGGTCCGTGGTGCTTTCTCACCCACCTCACTACCTTGGAGTTGGGGGTGGATTACCTTCCCCACAGATTTGGGGAAGGCTGATGTCAAAATGAGGCTGTAGGGCTCAAGGTCACTGGCCATGGGACAAGCAACCAGGTGAGGGCACCTGCCAGCCCTCATCACCTCTGCGCAAAAGTCAGAGCACCTATAATGGCCCAAGACTTGGGCTGCGGGCCCGAAGTCCTGGGGTTTCTCCCAGTGGCTTCTGGGTTAGGGAGGAGTAGGAAGTGGGGTGACTTTCCCCGAGGGGTCTGGATGGAGAGGAGACACTGGGACAGGGTGTTCCAACCAGCACTTGTTGGGTGCCCCCTTCAGGAGCCCTCTGCTTGCAGGGAAACTGTTACCTGCCAGAAAACAGTGGACGCCAATGTCTGATTGGGCAAGAGAAGACCAACCACCTATGAGAGAGAGAGAAAAGGCTGAAGAAGGCAAAAGAAACGTCCTATGCTTTTGCAAAGAAAAATGACACAGCCACGAACAAAAGTGAGCTAGATCTGTACAAACTGATGTGTATGATAAGTATATTCAAACTACTGCCCACAGTGAGATGATGTACGATGAAAAAACTTGGTTGCAGAATTATATGACAACATAATCCCAGTTTTATAAAGAAAAAAAAAATCTCACGAGATATACCCACATACACAAATACACATACATATACATATCTCCAGGCATGAAAAAATCTGTAGCACGGCAGGTAGACGTCCCTGGAGGTCAGGTTACATGGTACTTTCTCAGATTCTTCTTGAATATTTCTGTGTTCTTTTTAACAGTGGACATGCATATTTTTGTAATTGGTGGGCAGGGGAACAATAAAAACAAACCAGCAAACCAAAGGAACGCCTTTACTTCCACCCAGCTAACCTGGCTCCTTCACACCCTAGCCATCCAATAGGATTTTTTTTTGGTGGGGGGGGGGTTCGTGGGCCTCTCACTGTTGTGGCCTCTTCCGTTGCGGAGCACAGGCTCCGGATGCGCAGGCTCAGCGGCCATGGCTCACAGGCCCAGCCGCTCCGCGGCACATGGATCTTCCCGGACCAGGGCACGAACCCGTGTCCCCTGCATTGGCAGGCGGACTCTCAACCACTGCGCCACCAGGGAAGCCCTCCAATAGGATTTTTGTGAGGATTCAATAAGAATCATTTCAAAGGCCTTAAGTGCTTTACAAAGACAAGTAGGGAAATTTATATATTATCTCTGGGCCCCCATGAAGCAACACCTACACTATGTTTAAACTATTGAATGAAACATAGATATCTAATAAGTATTTGTTGAATGTGCGAATGAATGAACAAATACACACATACGACCAAGTCTGGTTACATAAGTGTGGATCCATTAGTCCCAAAGCCCAAATATCACCTAAGACCTAGACTCAGTGACTTTGTTTTTTTTGGTTTAAGTCAAGATTAATTGCCTGATCTTGACACTGACCAAATCTTAGACTTCGGGGATCCATGTGTGTCTCTCAAATTTACCTTTTGAGTGCTTGTGTGCAAAATAACATCTACCAAGTGCTGCTGTATACGGAAAAAATGTGCACAGCCATCCACATATTGACTTATTTATTATTCTTGTAGATAAAATGGCTCTTTGGCAAGAATTTCTGTAAGGAATGTGTAAACATTCAATTCTATGCAGTAAATCAAATTCTAGACATCCTTAGCAGCATTAGTAAATCATGTTTTAAACATTAAAATGTTTTAAAACAGCAAACATGCACACACAGTTATATTTATTGGCCCATATCAGTTTGAATAAAATTACATAATGTAAATTAATTCCATAGTCCAATGAAGAAGTACCTTATGATATTTTTCTCCCCAAAATAAGATCCCAACTTGATTTTTCTTTGCAATGACAGCTTAGAGTGCTGGAGTGAGAGTCAGGAGACCTTGGGTCTTAGCCTAGGCTCCATCCCTGTGTGATCTCCAGCAGAAGACATGCCCCTTTGGGGTTCTAGCTTTCTCCCCTATAGAGCGAACAGGTTGACCTTGGAGGTCCTGTCTCAGTTTAAATTCTATTCTCAGGTTCCAGGTAGTAGGTGTGAAGTCAATACAGATGGTCCCATTGTCTTTAAAGGGAATTTTCCCACCAGTCCTGCCAAGAAGTAACCCCAGGGGACCCAGGGCCTCATCCTAGCGCCCCAGTCAGCAGCCAGACCATAGAGAGGAAGCTGAGCCTAGAGAGGCCTAAAGCTGGGAAAAGAGAGCATGAGTCCGCGAGTGTGTGTGTGTGTGAATTTGTGTTTGTGCATTCGTATGCATGTGGATGTATGTATAAACATGTGCATGTCTGACTGCCTCACAAAGCCTGAGGATATAAAAGCTGTTTTCCACTGTTGGGAACTCAGCACATCATTCCCCCTAATCCGTTGGTTTATATAAAACTGGTGTGTTATGAACTACATTGTATTCTCCCCCTCAATCCCCTTTGCACCCCCTGAACTGTGCTTGGCTCACCAGGACCGTCATAAGATGTGGCCCATGGGACTCGTATTTACCCTTCAGCTGTTGTCCAGGACACTCACTGCTCATTACATTGGACCCCATTATGAATCCACGTGGAGGAAATTTTTCTGATCTCAGGATCAGAAATTTATACTTCTGAACATCTGGTTTGCATCTGTCTTGCAAACACTGGGCATTCAACTGTGTCCGTCTTTGCACTGACTGTCAAGATGCCCAGGCCCGGTCACCTTACTTGTTTTTTCTTGTGGCATGCATTTTTTTATGTGATATCAAGTTTTTTTCAGAACAAACCATAGCCCTAAACTAAACCAAACTAATACCCAGGCTATGCAATACACACACACACAAAGTGTAACCAGTGAGTTTTTCACCATGCTGGCCAACCTGACCAGCCTTCTGTCCCTAACTGCTGCCCAAACACGGGCCTGATGTCCATGCTGGGCACCTCTGACTCTGCATGCTTTCTGAAAGAGATGAATTGATTGACTGATTTTGCTAAGCACTTCTCCTTATGTCATTTGCCATGATCCTTATTATAACTCCAGGGCTGATTCACTTTGTTATAAAGCGGAAACTAACACACCATTGTAAAGCAATCATACTCCAATAAAGATGTTAAAAAAAAAAAAAGAAATGATAATGCCCTAAAAAAAATAAAAAATAACTCTGGAGCTCAGACAAAATAGATTACTTTCTATATTTTGCAAATGGGGCAACAGAGACTTAGAGAAATTCAGTGATCTGCCCAAGGCTTTAAAGCAAGCTAGAGAAAGAGTCAGGTCTCCTGATTCCTGGCTTGGGGGCCCCAACTCTCTGATTTTAGGGGCTCCTTCTCCAGATCACCCTCCTGAATACAAAAGAAGAGTCACATTCTCTGCCCCTTTTCGAGCATCTTCTATGCACTGAGTCCCATACCGCTCCCAGTGGAGATTACCAGAAGAGAGGAATATATAGCACCTAACCACAATAAACACAAGGACCCAACAGGAAAATATATGAGAATGTCCTTTATAACTCCTGGGCATGAAAATAACAAGATGGTTTAAACAGGTATCTGGATGTGTGTCAAACTGATAAATTCTAACATCCAAGCAGGAGTTCAGGAAGGGAGAGGTCTGGCTATCTGCCAAAGGGGGTGACAGGATGGAGCTGAGGTGTGCGTGTGTGTGTTCATGCGAGTAGGAACAGCTGAGAGGCTGGCTTCATTGAAGGAGGATGTTCAGGAAATCAGCAGACGGGAGTCCGGGGAGGGTGAGGTGAGAAGGCAGCGGACCACCATGCCACATTGGCCAAACGGGGTCCCAGGGAGCCATCTGAGGCTGAGGCAAGAGGAACAGGGATCCTGCCTTCCAGGTCCTACAGTCAGGCTGGTGGGGCCACGAGCGCGCAGGTGCCAGCCCCATTCCCTATTAGGCAACACGCAGCACCATCTGCACAATCCCAGGAGCAAGAGCAGATATTTTATAATTTCCTTTTTTCTTTTTAAGTCTAAATTAAAAATAAATGTTCCTTCAGTTCTCAGATGTATATCTCTGGTGCAACCTGCCCACATTCCCTCATGCTGCCCTTTCCAGAACATGGCAGGGGAAAGGAGGAAAGAGATGAATAGAGAGAGGGAGCCAGTCCGCCGGCTTCAATGCCAGTGGATTGCACCTCTTCCAAGGAGACACTTCAGGCGTGGCCGCATGGCGGGTGGAGAGAGCCCAGAAAGCGGCTGGGACCAGGGAACGTAGAAGGAGAGCCAACAGCCAGAATTCCCAGCCCAGCCTGCACCCTATCTTGCTGCAGGACCTCGGCCAAATCGCACATCCTATCTTTGCTCCCATTTATAGTTCATAACACGACTGGGGTCCCCTCCACAGCTCCCACCCCGGGCAGCTGTCCTCTCCGCACATCTGTCTGCCTTTGATTCCCCTTCCCCTTGGGTGGCCGGCCAAGGGCCCTGATGATCAACGCTCAGGCTCTGGTGGTGGGAGGAGCTGGACTCAAATCCTGGTTCTAGTATTTACCGGCTGTGTGACCACACACAAGTTACTTGAGTTCTTTGTGCCTCTGTTTCTTCATCTGTTAAATGGGGACAATCCTGGTACCTCTCTGGATGATCAAGAGAGGAAGTAAGGCGTGGAAAGAATTTGGCACAGTGTCTGGCACGCAGCACGTGCTCACTAGGTGTTAAATGTTAGTATCGTCCCTTTCCTTCTACCTCATTCTTTTCTAGCCTTTGCTGGTCTCTCATTTCTCTGAACTCCACAGTCTACATTCACAATTGAGCATCATTTAGCCCCAATCTTGTCTTTGAACACAAGGCTTATCCCATAAAGGATAGTAAGTTCCTGATGGTAGAATTAGGGCTTTTCTCTCTGATGTCCCCCAAAGCACTCAGCACAAAGCTGGGCCCACACCATACGCTGGAAGAACATTGCTAATTCATCATTAAGAACATTAATTCATTCTCGGCTAGAGAAAAGATCCATGATGGATTGTGACAATGACCACCATCACCCATCTCTTCCTTAGTCCTTTTGTTAAAGTCTGATTGCATGAGGCTATTGGCCTTTGGAGAGGGGGGCAGATTGAGTTTTGGTCCCAATTCTTCACTCCTCCCTGCATCCATATCTATGCCAGGGGAGGAATTTGTTTCCATGCTCTTGGTGTTGCTTGGCCATATAACTTGCTTTGGCCAATGGCATGTGGGAGGAAGTGGCAGTGTGCCAGTTCTAAGACCAGGCCTCAGAGGCCTCATATGTTTCTGCTGGCCCTCTGTGCTCCTAACATTGCCAAGAGGAGACATGCCCTGACTAGTGCCCTAATCTGAGGATAAGATGTGAGGAGCAGAGTCCAGCCTGGGTGAGCTGACTCCCAGTTGACCCCAGACCTGCAGTGAGAAGCAAAACTGCCTCGGTCAAGCCCAGTCTAGATCAGCC